GTGAGCAGCACCAAATGGAGTGTTACTCCACATCAAGGGCAAAACCATTGCTGCGCGGTCTTCCAACAGGTACATGAGACTCAGTTGGCTCGTTGCCGTTTCTTGGACTTTCGTGTGCACTGCGGCTAAAGTGCATGTCGTAAACTTCGCGAACGACCTTATTCGCGAAGTATGATTCCATACTCTTCGTTCAGTTCATTACATTGGCAACCACGTGATAGTAGCACGTCAGTATCTTCAACACCTTGTCAGAGCCTAGTGCGCTCTGAATAGCATTGGATTGGGCCTCCTTAGCGTCTCCCATCACGTAATACACCTTTAACGCCTTTTGCATGACACGAAAATACACGAAACGCAGTGAATTCAGCATATACGTGTATTGTGTTTCTAGACGCTGCGAAGTTACGAACAAAGCCACTAGATGAAAAGAACGGCATCGATCATATATTCCATAAACCAGCACTGGATATTCAACTTGTGCAACCTTAAATGTAGCGTCCACATGGAAAACAAATGATTCAACAGGCCGATCCAACCGAGATAGGAGCCTTTTCGACGTCACACCGACCACAAAAGGTTTTCCGTCCGAACCTGTTCCAACTGCGATATACCCATCTTCATCTTTTTGCCAACTAATGGTGAAAGGAGCGCTATCCTCCTCGTTTCCACTATACTCCAATCCGCGTATATACTCGGCAAGTTTGTCCACGAAATCGTTGTTCATCATTTTTGTCTTGTGGAAGTAGTTCGAGAAATTTTCCACCACCTTCAACTCTGGTAGATCATCAATTGGAACGTTAAATTTTCGAGGCATCGAATTTCAAATACGGCCGGGTCGAAGTCCTTGAGCGGCCATCTCTCTGATGAAAATCTTGTGCGCTTCTGTCAACTTGTTTCTGGGGTATCCTTCGCGAGGCTGTTGTGTAGCCCACACTCGTTAATGGTAAACTTTCGTGTATTGTCGCACTCCATGACACGCCCACGCCACGGACAGTTTGGCAAGCCATCGCTAGTTTTGCATTTTCAACACGAGCAGCTCAAAAAGTTGATAGCGCATATCGTGAGGCGACGCCACAGTACATATCGTGCAGGGAACGGCATGGCTAGTTCCCTTCTTGTACTGTTTAAACTTCTCCAAAACAGCCTCGGCAGTAGCGGTGTCCACAAAGTCTCGTACTATAGTCCACTCCAGAGTCATAGCCCATCGTGCTCGGAACAAGTCCCCGACAACCACCCAGAACGGTTCCCCGCGAAGAACTCTGCGAAGACACCAGATATCCTGGCAGCTCTGACTCGGTGGGGAGGGGGGGGGGGAAGATTGCGATATGAGGAGCTGCGATAGGCTATCAACAGTCGTACGCGGCCACAAGATTGGCTATAATACAATGTCAGTAATTCAGCTCCTCTGTGTACATGTTAGGTAACGACCTCCGCGAAAACACAGTGATGTGTGTACTTCCCTACCGCTTGTGCGCCATTCATATCCATTATGTGCATTCAGGCGCTT